AAAAATTTTAAATTTTCCTTAAAAAACAGAAAAATTTCGTTTTGATCAGATTTCGTTTTAATCTGTGACAGTTATTAATTAATAATATTATAGTAATATTAATGTAATTTTTTTATTGCTTAATAATGAATGAGTTCAATATTCGAAAGAATATCTTCTATGCAAAAGGTAATTAATTTAATATTATCAATTATTTAATAAAGTAATTTTTTAATTTAATTAATAGATATTAGGATGATAAGAGTAAGATTTATATATAAGATGATCAATATCTTTTAATTTTTTCGTCAAAAAATTTTATCAAAATATGGGTAAAGAAAAGCGTTTGCCGAAATCAGAGAGCAGTAAAATGGGTGCTAAAAAGTCTAAAAAAAAGTTACGTAAACATGAGAAACGAAAATATAAGGTTTATAAAAGGTGTAAATTTAATATATCATTAACACAACAATAATCTATTATTTAGCAAATGTGTGTTATATTGTGTAAACAGTTGCTTAAGCAGTCGTAGCAGTATTTAAGAAGGGGAAAGGAAAAGCAAGATCACCATCACTATCAAGCTCTAGTAGCTCAGAAGCTACTAGTAGTGAAGATGAAAGTGAGGTAGAAGATAAATCAGTTAAAAGAAGAAGAGGTAGATCAGTTAGTAAGAGAAAAGGTAGATCAGGCAGTAAAGATAGTAGTAAGTCAGTTAGTAGGAGCACAAGTAGAAGCACTAGCAGGTCTAGTAGCAGTAACAGCAGTTCAAATAAAGATGTACTAAAAGTATTGACCAATAAGCAGAAGTCTTACTTACAAGTAAATATTATTTATCTCATATTTGTGAGTTCGTCTGTTTTTTACTTTTATTATTATTATTGTTATTATAATTAATATTATTATAATTAATGGCATCAAATGAAAAAACTCTTTCTGCTTATCATTTATACACAAAATTTTATCACAATAATTTTTATGTTTTTCTCAATTTACGAAAAATTTTATTAAGTTAACAACCTCTTGACCCTTAATAACAT